AAGGAAGGAAGGAAGGAAGGAAGGAAGGAAGGAAGGAAGGAAGGAAGAAAGGAAGGAAGGAAGGAAGGAAGCAAAAAGGACAGACCTGAGGTGAACATTTGCTGTCTCACCTTGTGAAGCTCTTTGTACAGTTGGATGCAACAGGAAGGTCTTCACCAGATCTCTTACATTCAGAAACAAATAAATTTTCTTTAGATATTACCCAGACATAAGCATTGCATTCGGTTCATAAAAAAATGACTAACAAACACATTTAAGTTCTAGTTGACTCATCTGCCAATTTTGAGTCACTTTGGAAATTTTATGCAGTGGCACATTGGGAGGCCAATAAATCCAATCGTTCTTCCCTGCTTGGATTCTGAATCTGTCGGTACACTGTAAATAGAAATACAGATCTGATTACTGATAAAAGTTATGTTTGAGGACAGATGATTTGACTGCGATTAATCCCACTTGAAGGAAATTTAGATACTTTGACCCAAGAGTTTTATATCATAGTAGTTCAATTAGTTCAGGGCGTAGAGGAAAGAGTAGACTACCAGCAGATATGGATGTATGCATTTTAAACATATTGACTCTCTTTTAAATGAAGACAGCATAGTTACATCTTTAAGTGAAGATTATCTCGATAAAGTCACCCCAGGATTTTAACTTTTCACATGACACAGCAGTAAGGAAATCGACCGAGTCTTCCTACAGTTAGAGAAGCAGCTGACCTGGGCATCTGGCCTTGCTCAGACCTATGGAGGTTTGGTTCACCTGTCACCCACTCTGTCACCCACTTGCAATCTACCATGTGAGTTTACACTGCATTTCTTCCCACAAATCCTGGCACTGACTACCTAGAGTGAGTATAGACTCTACAAACTGGTCAGCCTGGCAAAATCGCCCTCCCTTTAGACACCAATTACAAGACCTGAGAGTTGTGTGTGCCTCTGACTAACTGCCTGTAGATTTGGGGATTCCCGCGGTCTCCCTGCATGGGTAAAATAATAATTTGCGAGGCTGACTCATACCCTGGGAAAGCTGTAGAGTTATAATCACAGGTTTATTATAAAGAATGCGATGGAGGGGCAGCCAGCTGGAAGGCATGGATAAGGCAGGGGATGAAGGACCTTACCAGAGAAATGGACTACTTTGAGAAGAATGAAACAGAAATTCTATAACTGAAAAATATAACACAGAACACGAAACTATTACCAGGTAAGCTTAGCATTGCAGAGGAAGAATCCTAAAGATGGGTCCCAGAAACCACGAAAACAGAGGCACAAAATAAAGACAACAAAAATGAGAACGTAGAAAGTGCTTGTGTGTGCGTGTGCACACACATACACACACACACACATACACACAGAGCCAGGCGTGGTGCCGCACACTCTAAGTGCCAGTACAGAAGAGCTTGAGGGGGGAGGATTGCAGTTCTAAGCCAGTGAGACTATGACTCACGAGAGAGAAAAAAGCAAATAGAACCCTGGTGACCTGTGAAACATAAGTAGTCACACTACCTTAAGTAGTAGGAATACATTGAACAGATAAGGATTTAAGGAAATACCAGTCGAATGCTTTCAGAATCACATGACCTTCTCAATAGCTGAGAAAAGAAACCTTTGACAAATTCCAACATGCCTTCATGACAAAAGTCCTAGAGAATGTTGGGCTAGCGGGAACGTACTTCAACTTAATAAAAAGCTATATGTAAGAAACTCACAGCCGACAGCATCCTAAATGGAAAAAAACTTGAAGCCGCCCAACCAAAGTCAGGAATGAGTCAGGACCGTCTACTATCCTCACTCCTTTTCAGCGTTGCGCCGGAAGTGCTAGCTGGAGCAATAAGGCAAGAGAAGGAAATGAACAGAATGCAGAGAGGAAAGGAAGAAGTAAAACAAACAAAATCCAAAACCAGAACATGCCCTGTTTGCAGATGACATAATATTGTTTATTAAAGATCCCCAAAATTCCATCAGAATTCTAGAAACAATGAATAAAAACACGTCAACAACACGGTAGAATACAGAATCAACTTGCACAAATCAGGAGTTTTTCTGCACACCAGTGATTTTAGGTTCACCCAATCTCAGTAGTTTTCAAATTGGATGGCACATGTAACCCAAGGAAACCGACCAGTATAAAGCAAGATGATATACATGAACTCATATTAAACCCTCTCATTTCACATTGGTGAAAGATGTCGAGAAAGGATGCATGACTTCTCATGCAGACAGAATTGATGGAGGGTTTCATCCCTTGACCCAGTTCAATCTGTGTGTTCTAATTCAGAGGCTCTCTCTGTGCTACACAGACATTCTTTAAGGCTCCACTCTTTCCTCCTCCCCTTCCTTCTCCCCTTCACCTCCCTCATCCTTTTTCTTCTGGCAATAAGGATTGAATCCAGGGCTTCTTGTGTAAGTGAGTACTCTACCAGGGCTCTAATTTCCTAAACTAGTTTTTATGTTTTTAATTTGAGACAGGGTCTCACTAAGTTGCCCAGACTGGCTTTGAACTCATTCTGTAACCAAACAGGCCTTCAACTTGCAATCCTCCTACCTCAACCTTCTGAGTAGCTGGATCAAATTCCTGAGATACTAGGTCCTGCTTACATTCCTTCTAACCTGCCTCCATTATGTAGCATTTGGTATAAGTGAACATAAACAGTAAGCCAAGAAAACACTATATGATGTAGTACAAGAGCGGGGCCCCTTTGTTCCATCCCGCCTGGCTAGCTTAACCCCTGAAATAACCACACAGAAATTGTACTAATTAAATTACTGCCTGGCCCATTATATCTAGCCTCTTCTTGGCTAACTCTCACATCTTGATGAACCCATTTCTATTAAATCTGTGTATCACCACGTGATTGTGGCTTACTGGCATGAGCCTACCCAGTATCTGTCTAGAGCAGGAGAACCATGGCGTCTGCCACTCTGCCCTTCTTCCCAGCATCCAGTTCTGTCAACTCTGCCTATCTACTCAGCCTATCTAAGTTCTACCCTATCAGAAGACCAAGGCAGTTTCTTTATTCAACCAATGAAGGCCACACATAGACAGAAGAACCTCCTACACCAATATGGTATGGAAATGGTGTGTCAGATATAAAAATATTATATCTATCATGAATCTCTGCTTTATGTTTAAAACCACTCTTGGCTAATGATCTAAAAAGAAATGCTAGCACAATAAAACAAACAATCAGTCCAATGAAACTGCCACAGAAGAAGTCAGAAAGTATCCCATAGAACTCAGTCTAAACATTTTGAGAAAGGAAGATCAAGAACCTCAGTGTCTCTACATTACACATAAACAAGCCTCGTTTTGTCACTGGACACTAAGGTCGTTGATAGACAGGTGGACAGATGAGCAACAGGCTAGAAGGACGCCCAGAAATTTGGCAGTGACAACACAGTGGCCTACAGAATGGTTTTTTTCTTCCCTACACATGTGACGATATAAAGGTTCTTAAATGGCTTTGAGATCGTCATGATTTACTCTTTGAATCAGTTTTAAGCTCACAGAAGCACCGAACGGAAGATAGAGACTCGTCATGGGCGCCGTCCACCGCTTTGCTCACACATGCATGGCCTCCCGCGTGGCAGTCATGCCCCCATGGAGGGACGGATTTATGATAACCCATGAACATGCATGAGCACATCATCATCCAAAGTCCCCGAATGCTATTACTCCCAATTGAGATTTCTTAATAATTGTTTGTTTCTTCTAACTTTAGGTTTGTAGAACAATTACAAGGGCAAATGCAGAGTTCCCATAGACTGTTCTAATCTCTACTTCACTTTCTATTAATGATACCAGTATCAGTGTGGCCACGTTTATGACTATAATGAGCAAAAACACAGATTTGTGATAATTAGTTGAGGTTCTTAGTTGATATTAAAATTCACTCTTTGTAGTCTACAGTCTATAATTCTGAAAAATGTATGTTGACACTAACAATTACAGCAGAAAATGGGAAGTTATAAAATGAAGTTCACTCCATAAGGATAAGGTAATAAGTATTTCATAAACATAAGCTAGTTCTTAATTGTGCTGGAAACAGAATACCACTGAGAGTTCATTTTTATTTATTACTTACACTAATAACACTAACAACACCGATGACTCAATCCAGAAACAGACTGTCTTCTATTAATTTATGTGTATATCCTGTGGTCTGAGAAGGCAATTGATGTCATTATTCTTCAAAACATAGAACTGGGATATTTTATTCATTCAATTAGATGTGTAAAACCACATCCGGTAAAGGTGGCAGTGAGAAATGCCTAGAAGAGCCAGGAAAGACTTTATTGAAGACATAATCTTCCAACTGGGACATAAAGAGTAATTAAAAGTTGAAATTATAAATACACATATGTATATATTCAAATATAGTTGAAAAAGCAATTAGCATTCATGCAAGCGATAACAGAATGAGAAGATTCTTCTGTATGAATTCTTATTTTATAAAAACTAAAGCATTATGGGTGGCTGTTAAAGCAGAAAGCCCAATTGATGGAGCATCACTGATATGGGATGCTCTTCTACATGCTGTGAATATGTGTTGCTTTCATTGGTTGATGAATAAAGAAAGCTGCTTTGGCCTATGGCAGGGCAGAATATAGCTAGGTGGGAAATTCAAGCAGAGATACAGGAGAAGAAAGGCAGAGTTGAGAGAGATGCCAGTGGCCACCAGAGAAGCAAGATGTGAGTTAATAAGCTCCAAGCCTCATGGTAAAATATAAAGTAATAGAAAGGGGTTAATTTAAATGTAAGAGCTAGCCGATAATAAGCCTGAGCCATTGACCAAACAACTCTATTTAATATTAAGCCTCTCAGTGATTATTTTATAGACGACTGGGGGACTGGGTGGGATGTGGAAAAGCTTCCAGCTATACATCACTGAGGCAGGTGTAGTAGGCCTGTATGTAAAATAGCAAAGGAGAAAAGAAAAGAACCATTTTGACCTATAGTTTTGAAGAGTAAGGCAATGAGAGGGATCAGTCATGAAGGTGATTGGGTACTGGAGATTGGTGTTCAGTGCTGAGAGACTGCAGAATCTGGGGTCACAGTGTGAGGGTGGTAAATGGAGTTTCAAAGGTAGATGAGCCTTCTGTGTGACAACAGGGAGAGAGAGCCTGCCAGGAAGAACTTTGGGGTATCAGGGAATGTCCAGGGATGGAAGAAGTGGACACAAAAGGAAATGTCAGAGAGTTAAGGGACAAGGCAAAATAGTTCCTCAAAGCCGAGACAGCGTAAGTTTAAGGATCTGACAGCAGCAATGAATTCCGAAGAGTAATTAAGAGAAAGGTGGCTCCAGGTCATTAACAACACGAGGCTGTTTGTACAGACTGTGAGATGAAAATCAGATCATAGAGGGGTTTCAAATATAGCAGGCTAAGGAAGGGGGTGTTGGGTAAAGACCTGTAACATGTGGGCCGGCTTGTTGGGGTTTCTATCCCGCGCGGTACCCCACAACCGGCAACTCCCAAAGAAAATCACACACAGGACTCTATAAGATTATAAAGCTGATTGGCCCATTAGGTCAGGCTTCTTGTTAACTTTTATAACATATATTAACCCATTATTCTTATCTATGTTAGCCATATGGCTTGGTACCTTTTTTAGCTTTCAGCTTACATGTTGCCTCTTCGGTGGTCTGCACAGGAATGCCAGAGCGAGTTTCCTCCTTCCTAGCCTTATCCTATTCTCATTGCCCCGCCTCTACTTCCTGTCTGGTTGACCCGCCTATACTTCCTGCCTGGCCAATCAGTGTTTTCTTAAAATACATGATTGACAGAATACAGACAATTCTCCCACACCAAAGACCCACCATTTGGGGAATATGAATAGATTTAGAGGTTGCTATTTCCGCACGTATTTTGCAGCTAGGAAAGTCATTCCTCATCTTCATTAAAAGCAGACTAGAAGGAGTCTTTTCCGCATTTTTGGTGTGCCCTTTTCTGGCTCTTTTTCCATTCCTGGCAAGGGTGCCGGAGGAAACCAGCAAACAGAAGCCTGCCATTTTGTGCCTTTTGGGTTCTTTCTTAGGAATCTGTAATTTGAAGGAAAAGGGTAATTTTCAGATGCTACCAACAAAAACTATTCAAACTGTATCTGTAAACTCACCCCAACAAGCTTGATTGACAAACAGCACATAACAATGAAAACTGAAAGAAAACTGGTATGGAAAGTGTGTATTCAGTGCCGGCTTCATGTTGGGCAGAGTAAAATGTGGTAGGTGAAACCCTGCAAGACAGGACATGATTTCCTTTCTGGTGGGTAAAGCGTACAGATGAAGTGGCTGAGTAGGCATTTAAAGTATGCATTCCCAGACGACGGGCCTGGGAGACCGTATGAGTGTCAGAGAGGTGAATTCAGTCAGCCTAGGGGTGCAAAACAGGGTCTTTATAGAGCTGGGAAATAGAACTTAAATCCCTGCAAGTGAAGAAGCCGCGGTTCCTGCCCGAGACAGTTCATCTCTTCCTGGATTCCAATTGCCCCCCTCCCGGATCCCTCCTCCCCAGCCCACATTTAGGAGAGGCTGACTGTGTACCGTCTGGGGTCTTGGTGAGGCCCACCATCTGCGGAAATAGAGTGGAGTCCGGGCCAATACAATTCTGCCCATGTCTGTGGTCTTGCAAGAGATAACTTACAAATGTGACCTGGGTCACATTCTGTGTTTAAAACCAGCACTGGACATAACTTCGGAGCCCATAGCGTGCACAACCCATGCTTTATAGAGTCCTTTGGCGGAGTACTTCCTGTGGGAATTTACAAAGACACGGGAATTGGAATGCGTCCTGGCACTAGAAACCAAGCAGGGTGCGTTTTATATATTGTGTGATCCAATCCCCACAATTCTGAAGGGGTGCGATCCCACATCGGAGACACAAAAATAGTCCCAGCAAGATTCAAAGTCACTTGCCGACGTTCACCAATCAGTTTAGGCTAAGGTTTGATGACTGCCAGTTCTGATTCTCCTGCCTTGGGGACAGAAAGGATACCACCCCCTTTACTTACCAGAAACACCTCAACGTTGGGACTTATGCAATGGAGGATTTCTAGAATTAATTTATAAAATTACTTACAAGGTCAAACAAAGCACTTGGCAGACTGAGAACGGCTGGCTAGGATCACGCTCAACCTTTGATCAGGGGAAAAAAAAATAGACCGTCTGCAGAATGTTCTTTGGAAAAGATAACCAAAGCAAATAAAGAGAGAGTTCTTTAGTTGCCCCAAGCAATCACGAAAACACTACATATCTATGTGATTACCAGGCAAAGTTGAAAAGCATTTTATTGGGCAAATAAAAGCCCAGAGCGATCTCTGTGCCGATGACCTTTAAGCCACCCGACCGGCAAGGATGTGGCTAAGTACAGTGTGATTCAAGCATCCGCAGACACCAGACTTTGGAAGCCTTTGACCATTTAGCTTATAGTGGGCAAATCCCCTGAGATCCCGGGGAGGAAGAAGCGATGTGTATCCCAACAACAGCTGGCAGTTTGTGGACTTTATGCTTTGTATTGCTCAAGAGAAAAATGGCTTGCGGTATGGCCTGAGAATACAGCATATAAAATCACCCAAAACAAAGTAACCCGTTCATAGAAATCCTGGTCCAACAAAGAAATCCGTTTACTTTCTAAACGTGTGTCATTTGCTCTAGTCTTAATACATATCCGTGTTTCCTGGTGACTGCAAAATTACCAGAATTTTAAACAGTTCCTAGTGAAAGTTCCGAGTTGAAAGTGCTCTATCTAGATAGAACAAGTCTCTCTTCCCGATTTGCAAGTGAATATATCTCCCTCTAGCGTTCAAAGAAATTAATGCAGTTACTTGAGGTCGTCTGGTTGTGATTAGCTGCCGGGTAGGTCAAATGCGGTAAAAAAGCAACATCACTGTTTGTTTTCCTAGGAATTGGTCCACATATACTTCGGTGTTCTCCTGAACAAAGACCACATGCGCGAATTGCCAACCTCATTCTTTAGGGTTCTTTTTTTTTTAATCTAATCTCTCTGTTGTAACTTTAACTTTGTACTTGCATCCCTTGGTTAAAGCGTTGAAAAATGTGCGGTTTCTAAAGTTTCCTGAAAGAGAAAACAAGACTTCGGGGCTTGTCCTCAAACTGCCTTTGTCCTTCTTCCCCGCCACGATAAAAATCATCTCAGCAGCCATGAACCAGGAACAACTAAACAAACAGTGGGGGATTATAAATTCAATAGAATTTGATATTTAGGGAACGAAATATAAACACAATTTCTCTCTCTCCCTCCCTCTTCTTTCTCCCACCCCTCCCTATATCTCTCTCTCCCTCCCTCCCTCTTTCCTGATGGCATCACCCGTCTCCATAGCTTTAGTTAGCAAATCTGGATTAACTCTTCATTAACACCCTGGGTAGTAACACGCCCAGAGCTGCATGGCTTCTTCTCCTGCCCCAACATCGTTCTTGGTCATCTAAAAGAGCATCTTAAACTCCAACATACTTAACATCAGACTTTTCATGACTTTCATCGTCCGCGCCATGCCCTCTCCATCTACCAAATGGTTAGACCGAAACCACAAACAAACCATAACTGACGTTCGACCTCGCACCCAGTGCGAGCCAGTCCCATCCATCTTGCTTCCTCTGAGGCCGGATCACGACTACGGACTGCGCTTCCCTTTTTTCCAGAATTCTCGTTGCCCCGCCTCTCCTTCCTGCCTGGCTCTTGGCCAATCAACATTTATTTAAAATATAAGTGACAGGGTACAGACCATTGTCCCACAGCACCAAACAAAGCACTTTCAGCCACCATTCTGGTCACCATTGCTTCCTCCCTGACTTCTCCAGGTTTGGCCGTCCGGCCTCTGCACGGGCTGTGCCGCCTTTCAGGGCGCGGTTCCCCCATGCCTCCGCAGGAGGATAAACAGCGCCCTCTCTATTCTCTCCCACGTAGCCACAGTTTCAAAAAGAAGAGGGACGAAAGAAAGAATAAAGAACCTCGCCAGATTCAGAACTCCGTGGCTTAAACTTAGACGATATGATTTGTTTTTATTTGCTTATGTTATAGAGTGGGTGCATGAGCCGCAGCCTGTGTGTGGCGTCAGAGGGCAACTTTGGGGAGTAGGTTCTCGCTTGCTACCATGTGGGACCCGGGGATTGAACTCAGGCCGTCAGGCTTGGTGGCAAGCTCCTCTACCCACTAGACCGTCTCACTACCCCTTATCTGCTTGTTTATTTGAGACACACTCTCCTATGGCCCAAGCGCCCCACTGCAAATCTCCACACAGCTAAGGCCGATTGAATCACTGATTCTCCAAGGTCTGCCTCCCAAATGTTAGGATGAGGCTTTTTTAAAAAGAAAGTCTTCTTATAAAGAAGATTCTAGAATCAGCACAAATTGTGGCATATGATCCTCAAGCACGCATTTGGTTCATGACCAATAAAAAAAAAATCATCTTACCAACGAAGCAGACATAATAAAAACACACCAAACACACTAGGGGAAGTACAATACGAAGTCAATTTCTGTTCTCCATTATGGACTTTCACAGTTAGTTAGCCTAGAACCAGCTCAACTCTACCCAAATCGCACCTTCCACGTTTCCAGATCAGTAAATCAAAAGTCCACAGACAGCTCTACCCAAGGGAAGCTGGAGGTAGCTGATGGGGTCAATGCAGGAGACAGGCAACAGGAAGGAAATAATTACCTCCCCATCACCTGACCTATCCAGAAGGGCACCATCTCTGATCTACAATCCACGTTAGGAAACACATTGATGCCTGTCGGAATTTTGAGCTGGTCTTCGCCTAAAGGTGAGGAGGAGGGGTCGCTTTATTCCTTTAGTGCCAGAATCATCCCATTCAACTTCCCTTAGTTCTCCAAAGAGGCCTCAGAGTCTACATAATTTCCACCCCAACCCTCTACCATTAATAATCAGCCCCTAATTGATGTCCCTAATCCTGACAGACTTTGTTGGGAGAGGGGACGTCGTCTTCTGGAATTACTTCCAGATGTCATGGGGGTGATGCTCTTTCTATGGGATCCTGTAAAACTAAAAGACTGGCTAAGTTTCAAGATTACTGTCTGGTGTAATTGCAAATGGTCTAATAGTCAATAGGGCCACGCCCGACCTGGTTCAACTCTCAAAGGCTGAAGGAGGTTCCCCCTCACTTCCTCTCCCCTTCTTCCTTCTTCTTTTCTTTTGTTCCCCTCTAGCTTTCCCTTTACTTTAATAGCAAATCTTTAAAGATCTATAGATATATCTTTAAATGTATATATACATCTATATGTATATATATAGTTTCTATGTTTTATACACTTATCCTTTAATCACATTTCAGCACATAGTTTGGTGGCGTTAAATGGCCGTATGCCCACCGCCACCCATCTGCAAAGCCCTTCTGTGTTTCATCGAGTAAGACTGCAGCTGTGTAACATTAAACAAGATCTCTCCATTCTCCATCACCGGCCCTCACCATCCTACTCTCTGTCTGTACACATTTGACTGCAGGCCATGTGGTTGGAATGACGCAATATTTGTCCCTGCGTGGACCTAGTCTTGTTAGTAGTATATTGTCACGGTTCCTCCATGTTTGTCCCGCGCTACTGTCTCGCCAGCAAGAACGACGCAGGGCACGTAGGATCCTTCTGCAGAACAGCTTTTTAATGCATCTTGAGGGCGAGAGCATAAGCCGACATGGCGGAGACCCAGAGCGAGGCGAACCCAGCCCTTATATAGGAAACAGTCCCCGCCTCGGACATGTCACTCTCAGATTGGTCAGCTGCCCATCATCCCAGATGACGCCTCGGGAGAGGCAGGGACTACAGCGTTGGAAATTTGCCAACACATGCGCGTTATCCTGTTTACCGGGCGGGGGAACCGGATGTCAGCGCCATCTTGGAATGGCGAATGTGGTTACGGTCCTCTACACATGTTGTAGCGTGTTTTGGAATAGACTATATTTCATTCAATCTGGTCCTCCATTTATACACATGTGGGTTGCTTCCTCCTGCTATGTGTGCACATAGGTGCTTGTTTCTTAGCTGCTAATTATTTTGGTGGATTTCTGCAGGAGTAGCATGTTTGTGTCGCACGGCAATGCTCCCTTTCTGAGTTTCCATCACGTTAGTTTCTCTTAGTAACTATACCGGCTTACACTTTCTTGTAGTTTTCAGGATTCTGGGTTCTCTGTGTCCTTGCTAGCACTTGTTAGTATTCTGGGTATACATCTCTTACCAGTATAAAATTCGTGAAGAATTGTTCCTATTCCGCGTTAGGAATGAAATCGCGGTTTCCAGTTCATTGCCATTTGTGGTGTTCTTTGCTGCCCAAAGGACTTAAACTTGGGTGGAGTTGAGCTTGCTTGACTTCTTTTGTCGTTTTGGGTGCCCGCAAAATCCACGGTCACTGTGTCAGTGAAATAGCTCAGCCGGTAAGGTAAGGGCTTTTGCTGTCAAGCCTGGCGACCTGAGTTCAATCCTTGGGGCACACATGGTAGAAGGACAGGACAATTCCTTGAGGTTGTCCTTTGACCTCCGCAGACTCTCCCCAATAAAGAAGCAGATAAAAACAAAAGAAAATCAAAAGCCACGGAGCCTTCCCTCCATTTTCCTTAAGGAGCGTTAAAGCTTTAACGCCACCTGAGGCCGTTTTTCTCTGTGACGTGAACTGTCTGCTTCATGTTTGGGTAAGCGGATATCTAGTTTTCTCACGTCGGTTGCTGAAAAGGTATTGTTTCCATCACTGCAGTGTTGTACTAAAATTTGAGGTCAGAAATATGAGACCTCCAAGTACGTCATTCTTGTTAGATATTGTTTTGGCCGTTTGAGATCCCATAAGCTGTCACATGCATTTTAGTTGAGGAATCTGCCGTTTCTCAACCGCAAACTTTCCATTCAGGTGTGTTGGCACAAGTCTGTAATTCTGGCGCTAGGGAGGCCGCCACAGAAAAACGTAGAGTTTGTGGCCGGCCTGGGCTATGCAGTGAGACCATCTCAAAACCAAACCAAAATAAATAAAACCAAGCTAAACAAAAACTTTTCAGTGGGAGGCCGTTTCCCTTAAAGTCTAAACTCCTTGCCATACTTTATCAGGTCTTTAAAATTGTTCCTCTGATAGCCATGCAATGCCTCAGGTTTTTGTGCGCGATCTTCTCTCTGCCTGAAGCGGTCTTTACAGTCTTGTCTTCTCCTTCTTGAGACCACAGCGTTCACATCCCTGCCACATCTTCCAAGAGATGTGAGGAGAGCTGTGGCTCACGGCGCTGCCTCTGGGCTGGCTTGACGCTCTCCCAAGCCCCTGCGTGGGTATCGACTTGACACAGAATCATTTATCTAGTCAGTCACGCGTGGATTTACTGAGTCTCCGAAGGCTCACTTTCTAGTGCGCGGGGGAAGCCAACAGGACTGAAAACTGATGCACCCAAGTAAAGAACACATTTCCTGCTCCAGTCTTGAGCGCTCCATTTGCCTACGTTAGCAATGAAATCTGCAGAAACAGTTAAATAAAGGCGGGAGGCAGAGGATCACGCCCACCCAGGTTGGTTGGAAGGTGTCCACCACCACCCTCGGGAGGCCCCAGAAAGCCACCCTTACTGGATCACCCAGAAAGTTCTGGACCTGATCACGCAGTTACAGATGACCGGAAGTGGAACCCGCCAGCTTGTTGCTTAGCAACACATGAGGCAGGGACGCTAGAGCTCCCAGCTCAGAGAGAGCCGAGACTGAGCGAGCTGTCCAGCGGCGGACACCTCTGTCCCCGCTTTCAGGGTCCCGCAGCAGCGATCCAGGCCTGCCGTGCGCGGCTCGCAAGTCCTCGCAGCCATGAGCAGCGAGCAGGTGAGAGCGGGGCCGCCAGGGTCGCGGGTCCCGGGGGACGGGGCACTCAGGAGTGCAGACTGCGGCTCCCGGGGACCCCTCGACCCCACCCCGTGCCACCTCGGGTGTAGAGCGTTTCCCTCCGGTTCCCTTCCCAGCCGCTGGGTCTCGCTGTCACCTTAACTGCGGAGCACAGCTCTCTGGGACGCGCTAGCTGTAAACAGCTCGACAGCGACCCCTGCTGCTCTCCCGGAGTGTTTGTGGCCCGAGGCTGGACGGGTTGTCAACGTGGGCATGGGCTTCTTAAATATGTGACTTTCTGCAAACCACTTAGTCTTTTTCTTTCCAAGGAGAGAGAAACTCGCTTTTTTTACCACAGCCCTTCCCACCCCAGGCTGGCCTGGGGTTCGCTCTTCAGGCCAGGCTGGCCTTGAATTTGCAGCATTTCC